CTATCAACCCATTCGGCTAACGACCTTCCACCAAGCAAGGGAGCGGTGGGTGAGAATAGACACCCATTCAACGGTCATTTTATAGGTTGTTTCCTTATCCCCCCTATAGCATGGCTTCATGAATGAGGCTACTGTTGATTGAATGACTTGTCTTATACATATAATATATTAAACTTTTAATCATATATAATGTAAGGTGTATTTAAAATCTTTTCAGAATACGAGGTTTATTCATTAATTATCATGTGATTAATTAATCAATTTAAGCATATAATGATTTTATAATTATCTTTTAATTACATTACAATTAAATTAATTATTAAAATTCATAAGGGATAATTCAATTTAATTTAACTATTTTAAAAATTATCAAATAAGGATATCTCCTGATATTTAGGGATTCATTAATTATAACACAAGACATTCAAAATTTGGAATCAATCATAATTAATACCAGATAATTACCACAAATAATACAATAAATCATATTAGGAATATAACGACCGAAAATTAGATTAAAACTAATCCCACGTCGTGACAGAGGAATTGTCGCATAGTGAGATACATATTTTACGAAAATTCTACTTTGTTTAATTCATCGCATGTGCAATCGATGTTTGACAGACCGAAGATCTGATTCCATTGATGGGTTTTATAGAAAGCAAAGTCATGTAAAATTCGGAAAAACACTTAACAATTAAGAGGATACATGCATCCTGTAAAGGGTCTATGGCATAACACTTTGAAGGCAACATACTATGAACAACAAAACTAGCATAAACCCTAATGAAATCGAAATCATGGGATTAGGATTACAAACCTTTGATTTGTTGTAGTAAACAAATCACTTCAATCTCCTTGTATTGTAGGTCTTGGAAAGCTTAGCACCAAAAGGATGATGCCTCTAATGGCTCACACCCAAACCCTAGAACTAGAAGATAATAGGAGAAAGGAGAGAGGATATTTTGGCCAAAGTATCCTTAAGGGAATGATATGACCGAAAAATAATAACCCTTGGGGTCCTATTTATAGTGTGGATGAGACAAGGAAACCCCTAGATTTGAATAATAAAATATCCAAATTTTATTCAATTCAAATATGGTATCCCTATCAACTTTAGGAATATTCCAGAAACCCTAGAATACTCCCAAATTTTGTTCACCACTATATGGGTTTTAGAATTTTCATTCCTTGCTCAATTACGAACAATTACAATTCAACCTTTGGACCTTTAATTAATTCCAATTAACCCCGAATTAATTCTAGATTAATTCTGATTAATAATTAATTAATTCTAATTGATTTCATAATAATGTACTAATCATAAAAATTAACAAATCAATTTTCTATTTCCAATTAATATATTAATCACATAATATATTAACATATTATTTCTTCATAATTTCCAATTAGTTTATCAATCATATAATAATTTAATAAATTATTCTCTCTCTATAAATGTCATTATAACCACGTTCTAGTTATGAGGGCAACCCAAAAAGGATTTTGCTTCTAATTACAAGAACATACCAATTTGGCTACTAGGTTACACACTTTAATCCAACATACCTATCTAACAGCTCACTACCGCATACCATGCCTTATAGAGTACACTACACCACTACCGACAGGTCTTCAAAGAATGCATAACTATATATAACCAAACGTGAGATGAACATTCGAATAGGTGATCCCACTCTAGAGCCACAACCAAACAAGGAACAAGCAAGAAAGCCTAGATCAAGAGTTCTCAAGTTATCCTACATGACTACATAAATCCCCTAGGGCACTCCACTACACGATCACCAACCTACTGGTACTCTAACCAACATACCATTATTCCTATATCCTGACACACAAGGATATACACTGTAACACATAGTATAGTGAGGAAACTCACCGGGATCGAAGACCCAAGGAAACACAACAGCGCCCTCACTCCCTGTACTGATCACTTTCGCAAACCGGCTGACACCAAGTACAGATAACTACTTAATCAATAACCCAAGTCCTGCACGTTTGACCTAAATTCAAACTGTTCAAAAGTCAATGGTCAACAAAAGTAAATACTCAACCAATTCAACACTTGCCACGACGTGGAAACCTCTTGGCCATGTCGTGGGCACATCAAGACAAAGCAGTCACGGATGTGAGAACCACCACATTGTGGCAAGCCCATTTCCACGTCGTGGAAACTGGCATATTTCCATACTCTTCATTAAGAGCATAACCCTTACGGATCTAAACCCATAACTTCAGATCTAGTCCTTTTCAATGATTTAATGGATAAAGTTTCCAACTTTATCCATTAGGGCTCCACCACAATCCAAGATCTATAATTTAATGAGGCTATAAATTTAGCATGGACACAAGGAACTCCAAACACGACTCTTTTTCTTATTCACCACAAGTTTATTGACCTTAGAAATCCATCTCAAGCTCTGTAGTTCTTCAAACTCCAAGAGCATTCAAGGAAGGGACCAAAATCAACCAAAATGAACATATACTTCCATCAAAAAGATCAAAGGTCAAAATGAGAGCTTTATACCTCCAACAACTTAGAAATGTAAAGGAGATGATGGATCCAAACTGATTCCTTGCTTCCTTGCACCAAAATGATCTTCCTATTTCCTTAAGCTCCACCAAAATCTAATAATAAGGTCTTCAATCAAGCAACTAAGCTCTTAATCATATATGGATGCTAGGGTTTCGTGGTGATAAGTTGGAGGCTGAATATGATGCCCTAATCCTTGAGATTAGGTGCTTAAATAAGGAAGAAACACTACAAGTTATGCACTTGGGCTGCAGCCGCTTCCACGTCGTGGCCTTCCACTTTCCACATCGTGGGGGCCATCCGGATACGTGTTTCATGCATTTGGCATGCCATGTCGTGGTTCTTCATTCACTACGTCGTGGTACAAGGTTTTTCCGAAAAACCACACTTATAATCCCTCAAGCCTTCAACTGCTCTATCCTGGAAAACGGGTGTTACATTAATGTCAGCAACTTTCACTAACTCTGAAGGAAAGACAAATGGAAAGATATGTTGTCTGACCTGCATCGAACATGAAGTAACTGGGAAATACACCCTGAACCACAAGCCAATAACATGGCAAAAGCTCTCCTGTCAAAGCATACCTGGTAATCGCGTATTGAAAATAGATGCTCCTCCAGGTTAACCCGAGGATAAGTAATAACTTCTTTGCATATAAGCTAATGACATGGTAAAGGGTGACATTCGACATCCATTAGCATGTTAACATAATCATAAAAAAAGGATACCCTAAACATGGCCACACGTGCTGGTGTATGACAACTGCTTCGTATGTTCTGTCATGCTACAATGAAAGGAATTATAATTAGACATTTTTTGAATGTTTCAGACTAAAACAACTATGTTCCAGGCAACATTCCGGAATACAATGATTATGTTCCAGACAATCGCATTCAGCAATATCATTTCGGAACAACTCTTCATATTCCGGAGTTGTTCTATAAATTTTGGACATGTTCTTTGTGTTCTGGAGCCATTCCCAACAAGTTCATAATTATGTTTTTTTTTAAATTAATTGTTCTAGTGCACACATATACCCACATATAATGCTACAATAACCTAAAAACTACGAAAATTCGAAGGAAAACGATAAATACCTATTAATCCCATCAGTTCATACAAAAAAACAAAAATTTATACTTTTTAACATATATTCACAAAAAGATACACATAATTATAAAAAGCACCTACACATACCCACAAAAAATAAATCTCTTCATTGCTAGAAGAAGACATTCTTTGTGTTTGATGTTGTCTGAAATGAAAATGAAGTCCAAAATGAAAGTGAGTTTGAAATGTTATATATAGGGCGAGACCTATTACCTGGTCGGATCACTTTACCCGTTTACCCATTTAGGAATTCGAGTTCGAAATAGACATTCCGAACCGAGTGGTCATTTTTCAAAAAACACATAAAATGGTTATTTCCATTAAAAAAATGTTAGATTACTCAATTTCCCCTTTAGATGAGTCATAAAAAATATTAATATGCTTAGGAAATATATCTAAACAACTGATTAAGTTGACATCAAGCGCTTAATTGTTCTATGATGCGCCCTCAGGTCCGTCTTCCATCCATCACGCGAGAGTTGGCTCTATCCGGACTAGTAGATTGACCTGAAGACTGCAAACAAACTGTAAGCAGGTCGGCCGGGAGGGGATCCCGGACGACTCTCCGACAGTTAAGTTAGTGACTATGCTCGAAGGTACGTCTATTGGTACTGTATATGTCATTGTACAGCTGTGTTGTGGCAGTTCCAAGATCCAACAGCTGTGTATCCTCATACAGGCTGTATTCTCATAATTTCGAGGTACTGTTGCTACTGTTTCAACGTCATCTTGTACTTTCTCGTTGCTCTTTCTCTTGTTTTCAAGTTTTTATGCCAGCTTGGTACACATCCAAGCAACTTCGAGTCAATCAGGGTAGGTAACTTCGAGCAACTTTCCAACATGTTCGTTCGGTATATTTGGAAAGGATATAGGCATTCCCGGGCTATATCCTATTAAGTCCCCCCAGTTTGTATCTTTACGTACTTGATGGAGTATAGATGCAAACTTTGGAAGAAGCCACATTATAGCCGTTACAATCGGATAGAAGCGAAGAAAACTCCTGAATTAATTTTGATGTGACCTGCTGACGATTATGCTAGCCCTAATGATGATCCCTACAGTATTAACCAGCCACGTTGTCTGCCCGTTAATGCTCATTTCTCATTATAAATACTTTGGGATTGGATTTTTTATTCCACCATTCGCTATTTAAAGTCAGTTTCCTCCTTCTGTCAACTTTTTTCTCCCATTTTCTTCTACTTTTCTAAATCATGGTGAGCACTGGGATTTCCCATATTGGGACAATGAAATCTAAACTGACCATTTGAACCATGGGAATGCTCATTCAGAAGTACAACATTGATCTCAACTTCCATTTCGCCATTTCTATATTCCAATGTCCAATGGATATTGGGTTTCATTCTCCCTTCGCCATGGGTTAATGGAGCTTTGTGATGGTATTCCAACCTTCATCAAATATTGGAAGGAAGAGTTCTTCTTCGTTCATACCTCTGCTTTCTCCGGCCCTATGGCGTACGGTGCTAGCACCGACAGGGTTTTCGACCCTGTCCCTGAACTCTCACCTGACGGACCGTTGGTGACGGAGAAGTTATCGGACAATTTTGTTTGATGGGCGGATCCTGACGAAGCGATGTTGGGTATGGCGGGCATAAGTCCCCCATTGGAATCATTTAGGTAAGAAGCTCGTGGAAGTGTATCAGGGAGGTGATGGTTGCAGACTCTCCGACTAGGTCATAATCCAGCATGGATTCTGCTATAGAGGTTTCTCAATAAGAGGGCTCTAAATCCATTTCCCCTAACCTTCAATCCAAAGGTGTGAAATTGGATTTTGATTATGGCAAACCTCCCACGGTGTCTACGAGGGCTTCTTCGAAAGGGTTTATATTGAAGAGGCGCTATGAAATTGTTCAAGATGATCAACTCATCATAATGTCTCCTCCCAAACAAAAATGTTTTGGTCGTGAATCGAGAAGCCGAAGCCTGAATGATCTAGCTGATCCTCTGGTTCCAGATGTTATGAACTCTAAGTGTACCTTGGAAGATCCTTCTACTAGTGTCTTCCGTGAATGTCCAATCGAACCGGACAGTGAAATGTAGCGTGTTGAAAGCGAGGCAGAGGTGTCTCATTTGGCCAAATCAGAACCGGAGACCGCTTAGGAATGGCAACGGGGTGGGTTCAGGCAGGGCATGGTTTCCCAAACCCACCCTGATATCTTTCGGATTTCTTATCGGGGGCCCTATTGGGTTTCGGGTTTTCCCGTCAGGTTTCGGGTATCTTATCGGGTTTACAACAATTCATAACGAAATCTTTATTCCGTTTTAGGTTACCTCGATATCTTATAAAAAATATATATTCTGGCATTCCTTTTAAGTTAAAAATATAATGGATCATTTTAAAAAAATAAACTGAACGTTATATTAAAAATTATTTGATTTAAGCTTATACATCAAAATATCAAAACTGATCATTCACAATAGATTGTTAATAACTAAAAAGATTGTCCACAGTAACTATTTTATCTTTAAATACGTGCAATTAACATCAAAAGGATTCGAACAAATTATATGTGTGTATATATATATATATATATATATATATATTATCGGGGCGGGGCGGGTCGGGGCAAGGATAACCCACTCCCTGCCCCTGCCCCGATAAAAAACCCGATAATGACTCGTTACCCGACCCGAAATGATCGCGTTTCGAGTTTCCCCGTCGGGTTCGGGCTTTTTTGCCATCCCTAAGACCGCTACTGCCCCCCCCCCCCCCCCCCCCCGGAAAAAATCCCTAAAAACCCCCTTTTGGAGATGGAAGACCCTAAAAGTCTATCTGTTGTCGCTGTGTTCCAACAGAAACTCTTTGGGTCCGGATTTGGTTGTTTCCTGGTGTTGACCACTAATTCTTCGATTGTTACGCCTATGCATATTCTTTCCGATACCATGACTGAGAATGAGGAGCCTGTGGGGACTGAATCTGTGGACATGGAAGCAAGTATCCCGAGTCCTCCTACTTCATCGGGTCGTATGTTCCTTTTCTTTCTTTATCGATTTTTTCTTCCTTTTCTCTTTTTTTATATGCTTTTTGGATCCTTGTTACAATTCTCTTACTTATTGATTGTGCAACCATTGTCTTAACAAGAAAAGAGGTCACCATGCCAATCCTTCCTGCTTCACTTCCCTAATTTCAGTGCCCTTTCACTGTGACCAGTGTTCCCAAGAACCCTTTTCAAACGGGGGTTGCATATGATGAAGAAGCATTGGACAAAGCTCGGTCATGCTTGATGGAAGGAATGCATTTGTTGAATGAAGTGTTCGTACGTACAAAAGGAGGTTCAGTGCAGCTTTGTAAAAACCCAATATTTCAAGTCAATGTAATAGTCTAGTTCAACCATTGTAACTAGTTTTAAAGTAATAAAGAGAAATTATTTGAATATTATGTGCATTATATTTATTTATAAAGATATAATAAATTAAGATAAAAATAAGCGTAAAAAATGTTAGATAAACCCGATATTTATGAAGAAAGTTGTAGTGGTCGTAACAAAGATTCTGGAGATATAAAGAACACCGAAATCCGAGTTATAACGAAGAAGTTATGACTTATCGAAGTTTCGCGACGAAAACGACACGACGCTGTGTGATGTAGAAAGTGAATTTATGATAAAATGCTTTTTAGCCTTAACAATCTTAATAAAAGTCGTAGTATACGTTAAACCGAGAGCGTACATAAAAAGAACGTTCAAATCTGACTCCGTATGAGGAAGTTATGAATTTTCTAAGATTTGGCATAGCAGTGTGCAGCTCGGAATTCGAATTATAGATTGAGCAATTTTAGCCGACACAACCTAAACGAGAATCAGAGATCTCATCAAAATTAGTTCAACGGTAAAAAGACAGACGAAAACGGACGTCGGATGAAGAAGTTATGAATTTTTAACGGACTTTTCCTGTCCCGGCCTGTTAAAAATATAACTTTAAAAATAAAGTCAAAACTAGCCGACAGAGTCTTAACGAAAGTCGTAGAGAACATTCTCACCTACACGTGGATATAAAGAACGTCAAAAACGAAGTTCGTATGCAAAAGTTATGAATTTTTGAAATTCGAGGCCCAAAATTTGAGGCTGGTCCAAAGGGGAACGCCCCGCGTACAAGAGAACGGCCCGCGTTCGCAGCCACCTGGTCCGAAATCGCCACTAAACCACTTCACATGGGTGACACGTACGAAGCTCGGAAAAATGGACACGCTCCCCGCTCCTCTACACCGTGTATGAGGGTACGCCATGCGCTCCTTGCCGGAACGCCCTGCGTAGCCAGCAGCGTCTCGAACTATAAATATCATGCGAGACCTCCCGGTTTGGTTTGCAAAATTTCACCTTCTTTCACACTTTACACCCTCTCAAGGCACTCTAAACCCGAAGAAATCCCCGAAACACCCGAATTCCTCGAGAAAAGAGTTTTTCGGTTTGAAACTCTACCCGCACAGAACCGGTTTTCAGCAAAAACTCACGGTTTCGTCAAATCAAGTGAGTTCTTACCCCTACTTTTTACTCCCTTTTCCATATTTTAAGGGGGGGAATACAAGTAAAACATAAGGAAATCTCATGTTAATATCAAAATTATTCAAATAGTTTCATTTTTCGTTTTTACTAAAATATACATACAACTTTACTAGTTCGGGATTCAATGCAAATATATAAACTATAATAGGTATAGTTTATGAGTCATACATATGATCTTATTAAAACAAAATGGATTTTCTTTATTCTACACATAACCATCAATATAGCCTTGTGAGATATACTTCAAGTACTTATCTAAGTACCATCCAAGCCCTTAAATTATAACCAGAGTCTCTTGGAGGGAGAGCGTGACACTTGTTTATAGATCTATATGGGACTGACAATCTCGCACCTAAACTGTTAGCTACGGTTAGGCCGGCAGGCCTGGGGTGACAAATGCCGTACCAATTCTGACGTCTAAAGAACGTCGTCTTTAGGTCATCTTAGTTCATCAAGTATGGTTATAATAACTCACAATTTGGTATTGAATGGTACGATTAGTGTATGAATAAAAAACAACTTTATAGAGTTTAATTAAATATAGAACTATAATACAATATTTTACAGTACAACTGGTGGATTCAGGCACATACACTCACAGAATTTCATACAAATACAGTTACAGAGAAACTTACATTTCTGGAAACATTCATTTTATGGTTTTATGTGGATTAAAACTACAACATATTATTTCACAGTACAACAACATTTACATGTTTTGGTCTTAGAGTATTAAGACTACAATTCATTTATAACAGAAAATATAGGATTTTCTGGAAGAATACACTTACCTTTTCAAGGAACAAATAACAAATTTCTCATACAAATATGCTTATGAACTCACCAACTTAATTGTTGACACTCTTTTCAAAACTACTTGTATTCTCAGGGAATCAGTAAACAGGTGCCCACAGGTTTTAAGAAGACGGAGTTTCAATGATTTACGTCCTTTTGTTTTTACTATATATTTTGGTGTCAAGTAAACATTTATTTGAACATAGATGTAAAACTATACTTTATCAATTTCATGGTTGGTGTACTTTAATTACTATTATGCAATTGTTGTGATATTGTACATGAAGTCATCCGCCCCCGAACGTTTCCGCCGTTTTACTGGTTTGGGGTGTGACAAGCTTGCCCAACGCCAAGTTGTTTTCGATGAAGATTTGGAAGGGTTGAAGCAGCTGCGGGCCCTTCATGTGCAGACGGAGAAAGAAGCCAAGGAGTTGAAAGAAGAAGTAGTTGGTTTGTCGGAGAGGAACCGGAGTCTGGTGACGGATTTGAGTCAATCTATTCGTCAGCAGGAGGAGCTAACAAAAGTTGAATCAGGATTTGCAACTGAAAAATAGATGATTCCATGAGCCATCGCTCTTCTGCCGTTAAAGAACTCGAGGGTGTTTCTCAACAGCATCATTCGCTGAAGTCGCAATACACGGAGAAAGTTTCTTAGTTGGAGATCGCCTGTTCGAGCAAGGATGTTAGCATTAAGTTGTTGGAGGAGGAGTTGGCTATGGTGAAACTCTTGATGTTGGAGAAGGATGCTCGAATTGCTACATTGAATGATTCACAACTCATGATGGAACAGAAAGCAGTAACTTGCCAGACGGGAGTGGACAAGAAGGCTGAGGAGCTGCGATGGGCTATGAAGGAAGGTATTCCGCTTTTTGTTCGTGCTTTATTAGATTCAAGCAATTTTGGCGCCGTGAATGCTACCTTGCAAATGTCCACTATCCAACTTGGTCTACATCAAGCTTGTGTGGACATGAAGGAAAAGTACCCTAAAGAACTGAAAGATAAGAATGTCTTGTATTCATACCCGGATGCGCAACGTCAGATAATTGAGTGCTTCGCTAAGATGACAACGTACAAGTACTCACTTTTATCTGCTCTAGGGGAGGAAGGGATAGATGTAGGTGGTTTGAAAAAATTGCTGAAGTTTGTGGATTGTTCCAGGGAGGATGAAATTGGATCGAGCTAGTGGTTGGGGTTGTGTTTGTTTTAGTAGTGGTTTGAACATGTAATCGTAACTTTTTATTTCGCCCATAACGTTAGGCGGGATTTGTTTGTTTTGTTATCTTATAATGGCCTCCTGCTGAAGGAAAATGGACTTTTACTTTATGTGTTCGAATCCTTTTTCTTCCCGTTCTTGTGATCGTAAGAGTTATTTGTAGTTTCGATTATTCTTTTGTTGGCCAGGGCCGACATCCAACCTTTTTATTGACTCGAAGTGTTTATCAGATTCTGAAATGCTTTACCCACGAACTTGAATGTTATATTTAGCACATAATTTGTTCCATCGGGTTTTAACCCGAGGCCCGAATGAAGAGAACATCGAGGCATACTTTTCAAGGTTATGGCAATGTTTGTTAGTTGGTCGAATTACTAGACATGTACCTAAGGTTCAAGAAAAAATAACATCGAGCCATAATGTGGAGGATTATGGCGATGATTTTAAGTTGCTCGAACCGTTAGGTATGATCCTAAGGTTTGAGTAGAAATAACATCGAGCTATAATGTGGAGGATTATGGCGATGATTATAAGTTGCTCGAACCATTAGGCGTGATCCTAAGGTTCAAGTAAAAACAACATCGAGCCATAATGTGGTTGATTATGGTGATGATTTTAAGTTGTTCGAACCATTTGGCGTGATCTTAAGGTTCGAGTAAAAACAATAGTGAGCCATAGTTTGGAGGATTATGGTGATGATTTTAAGTTGCTCGAACCATTAGGCGTGATCCTAAGGTTCGAGTAAAAATAACATTGAGCCATAATGTGGAGGATTATGGCGATGATTTTAAGTTGTTCGAACCATTAGGCGTGATCCTAAGGTTCGAGTAAAAATAACATCGATCCATAATGTGGAGGATTATGGCGATGATTTTAAGTTGCTCGAACCATTAGGCGTGAACGTAAGGTTCGAGTAAAAATAACATTGAGTCATATTATGGAGATGATTTTTAAGTTGCTCGAACCATTAGGCGTGATCCTAAGGTTCGAGTAAAGATGACATCGAGCCATAATGTGGAGGATTATGGCGATGATTTTAAGTTACTCGAACCGTTAGGCATGATCCTAAGGTTCGAGTAAAAACAACATCGAGCCATGATGTGGAGGATTATGGAGATGATTTTAAGTTGCTCGAACCATTAGGCGTGATCCTAAGGTTCGAGTAAAAATAACATTGAGCCATATTATGGCGATGATTTTTAAGTTGCTCGAACCGTTAGGCATGATCCTAAGGTTCGAGTAAAAACAACATCGAGCCATAATGTGGTGGACTATGGCGATGATTTTAAGTTGCACGAACCATTAGGCGTGATCCTAAGGTTCGAGTAAAAAGAACATCGAGCCATAATATGGTGGATTATGGCGATGATTTTAAGTTGCTCGAACGATTAGGCGTGATCTTAAGGTTAGAGTAAAGATGACATCGACCCATAATGTGGAGGATATTGGCGATGATTTTAAGTTGCTCGACCCGTTAGGCATGATCCTAAGGTTCAAGTAAACACAACATCAAGCCACAATGTGGAGGATTTTGGCGATGATTTTAAGTTGCTCGAACCATTAGGTGTGATCATAAGTTTCGAGTAAAGATGACATCGAGCCATACTGTGGAGGATTATGGCGATGATTTTAAGCTGTTAACTTGGCCTATTTGTAAACGGTAGTATTGAAAGGAATGAAATATATCATTTTAGAATAAGTAATCAAACTACATCCAAAAAAACAACAACAAAAGATCTGAATTATAAAATGTCGTGATTGCTTGATTCCTTTCTCCCTGACTACCTTACATTACTACTTTCAAAAGTGGAATTTTCGGAGATTAGGCATGTTCCACGTTCTTGGCAACCGGATCCCATATAATGTCTCTAGAACGTACGCTCCACTTTATCGTACTTTGATCACTCGATATGGACCTTCCCAATTTGGACCAAGTTTTCATTTGGGCTCTTGCCTGCTAGCTTCGTTCTTGTACAGAACCTAGTCACCCACCGCACACGATGACTTTTTTACATGGGCGTTGTAGTATCGCTCTACTAACGCCTTATAATTGGCTTGCCGTATTGCAACTTCTTCTCGTTTTTCCTCTAGCAGGTCCATATTTGTTCGGAGATTCGCTGTGTTTGATCGTATTTCAAGGTTGCTGGTTTGGGTACTTCTAATTGTGACTACGATAGGAATGACTGCTTCTGTTCCATACACCAGGAGAAAAGGAGTTTCTTTGGTCAATGTCTGCACCGTGGTTCGATATGCCCATAACACATGTTGTAGTTCATCAGCCCAATTTCCTTTGGCTTTTCCCAAGCTCTTCTTAATTCCTTTTACTAAAGTTCGATTCGTCACTTCTACTTGACCATTGGCCTGTGGATCAGCCACCGAGGTGAAGTTTTGCTGGTTCCCTTTTCCTGGAACCACTTCTTGAAAGGGTTCTCAACAAACTGTTTGCCATTGTCACTTATAATGGTATGGGGTAGGCCGAAGCGACAAACAATTTGTCTCCATACGAATTTGATAACTCTTTCCCTGGTTATGACTGCGACTGCTTCAGCTTCGACCCATTTAGTGAAGTAGTCAATTGCTACGATAAGGAATTTGAGCTTTCCTGGTGCTTCAGGGAAAGGGCCCACAATGTCGATTCCCTACTGGAGGAACGGCCATGGGCTTGTGATGCTAATCATGTCTTGTGGTGGTAGGGCTGGCATGTTCGCGTGTATCTGACAGTCGTGGTACATCTTGATGAATGTTTCCGTGTCGCGGGTCATGGAAGAACAGAAGTACCCTACCCGAAGGATCCTCTGAGTGGTTTCTCGTGATCCTCCATGTGCTCTGCCAACCACAAAGTGTATTTCTTGCATTATTTCATCCGCTTCTCTGCTCGTGACACATTTTAGCCATGGGGTGGAATGACCCCTCCTGTACAGTCGACTGCCATACATGGTATAGTTCGATGCATTAATTCGCATCTTTCTTGCATTTTTCGCGTCCTCCGGCAGTACTCCTTTTTTCAGAAAAAGGACGTAAGGTGTCATCCATGAAACTTCTTCCTCCAACGCCAAGGTTTCACTTTGCGGCTTATCAATGCTTTTTCTTGGCAATACCTCCACTAGGACCATTTTTGACAGATGGCTGAAAGCTACTGAGGCGAGTTTACTTAAAGTGTCTGCTTCTTTGTTCTTTGATTGTGGAACTTGTGTGATTTCGAATGTTTCAAACTTAGCGATCCACATCTATGTCTGATTCAGGTACTTCTAGATGTGCGTTTCTTTCGCTTCATATGTTCCTTTAATTTGGTTGACCACCAACATCGAGTCTCTAAATACTTCAAGATGTGTGATGTTCATGCTTATTGCCAACTGTAACCCTGCTAGCAGGGCTTCATACTCCGCCCCATTGTTCGAACACTTGAACTTGAATCTTAGGGCATAGGTCGACTTGTCACCATACGGGCTAGTGAGGACGATGCCCGCTCCTGAGCAGACTTTGCTTGATGCCCCATCGACGTGTAATACCCACGTTTCTCTGGTTGTGTTGGTTGGCATTTCTGGATGTTCACCAATGCCTTTGGGAGTAGTCATCATTGATGATTGTGAGTCATATGGTATTTCTGTCAATAAATCAGCTAGAGCTTGCCCTTTTATGCTGATTCGAGGTTTATATGTGATGTCATGTTCCCCTAGTTCTATCGCCCATTTCGTCATTCTTCTTGAACGTTCTGGTTGTAATAGGATTTGCTTCATTGGTTGGTCAGTTAACACTTCGATGGGGTGTGCCTGGAAATATCTATGTAATCGCCTGGCTGCATATACCAAGGATAAGACCAACTTCTCAACTTTAGAGTAATTTCATTCTGCCCTTTGCAATATTCTACTAACGAAATATACCGGTACTTGCTTCGTTCCTCTTTTTACAACCAACGTTGCGCTGATTGCCTCGTGGCTTGCTGACAAGTACACGGTTAACACTTACTCCTTTAAGGGACTTTCCAGGGTCGGTAGTTGTTTGAGGCATTTCTTTAATTTTTCTAGTGCCTCTTCTGCCTCATCTGACCATAGTATTTCCTTCTTCTCTGTGAGTATCTTCAACGTATGGAAGAAAGGTATCGTCTGATCTACTAACCTTGCTAGGAATCATCCTAATGCTGAAAACTTTCCGTTAAGAGTTTGTACCTCCTTCACTATTTATTGTGTTGTTGTCTTCAGCAAGCTTTCAACCTTTTCAGGGTTCGCTTCTATCCATGTTTCTGTTACAATGTGGCCCAACAACTTCCCTCTTTGCACCCCAAAAATGCATTTCTTTGGGTTTAGCTTCATGTTGGTTTGTCGCAGCCTCCTGAGAGTCTCTTCCATGTCTGCCAGGAAATCATTGTCATCCTTACTCTTGATTACCATATCATCCACATATACCTCGACATTTCTTCCCGCTTGTTTCGTGAATACTTTTTCTACCAACCTCTGGTAAGTTGCCCCTGCATTCCTTAATCCAAAAGGCATCTTCATGTAGCAGAAGTCCCTTTCTCCGTGTGAAAGGCTATTTTGTCTTCATTAATTGTGACCATCTTCACTTGATGATACCCTTTGTATGCGTCCAAGAAAGATTTCCATCGATATCCTCCTAACGACTCGATCTTCTTCTCTATTTCTGGAAGGGGTAACTGTATTTTGGGCAAGCTTTATTGAGATCGGTGAAATCAACGCACATTCTCATGGTCCCGTCTGCTTTTTTTACTAGTAGTGGATTAGCAAACCATTTTGGGAATTACGTGGCTCTCATGACGCCAGCTCTTACTAAAGCTTCGACTTACTTATTGACAATTTCGTTTCTTTCTTTAGCCATGGTACGCTTCTTTTGCTTTACTGGTGCACATGAAGAATCGATATTCAAATGATGCCTATTATTGATCTTGGGATGCCTGTCATATTTACGGGAATCCATGGAAACGTATCCTGGTACTTTATTAGTATCATCATTAA